CCATATATTTCTCATGCACCAAGACCATAACTAATCCTTCTCAGTTCTCAGAGTCTAGTTAAGGAAGGCATCTGCTTTTCTTTGAACATAAGAACTTTGATATTAAGAACTTCGTCTCTTTAATACCATGAACATTCTTCACGTACATTTTGATGTTGTGCCTCTAATAGATACAACAAAGGCTGCATGGTTAAAGGACTACAGCTTACTTGAGTTAAAGTGCATGGGGAGTCCTAAGAGAACCATCACCATAGCATAATTGCTACAATAAGGAGCTTTAGGCGATAGAAATCTAGCATCAATGTGTTATATATTTCAAGTCTGAAGTAGTTTTGGCACTCTAGCATCAACGCGTTATATATTTCAAGTCTGAAGTAGTTCTTTTTGGCACTGCCATACTGTTACCTTACAATTCCATTGCATCAGTGCTAGAGCAAAACAATATAGCTTAATCATCTCAATGATTATAGAAGAAATTTTAACTGGACATATTTGAGGCCTCTTTTGTTTCTTGGAAGCTTTTAATTAGGAAAATATTTAATATTAACTCGTGTATCTTTTACTCTTAGGAGCTGTATCACGAGTTGAATGCTTTGGACAGATTTGAACAAGATTATAAAAGGAAGCTTCAGGAAGAAGAGAATTCAAATGCCGTACAAAGAGGTGTGTATCTGTTTTATTTCATTTCTCTGAAGGTTATCCATTGTTTCATATGCCTCGGTCAGCCTTTGATTGCATGATACTACCTCAATTTAAGAGAACACTAGTTGCTTTTTACCATTCAAGTAATTAGCCTTTTGTGATTGTACATTCATTTAAATTCTTTGAATTCAAGTATAATAATGATGACAATATGATCTCATATAATATCTATGACAGTACAACAGCTCACCTGCTCTGTTTCCTGCATGTACATTGTTTCCACAATTGTGCTATGAAGAAACTTTCACAATTTATGTTATAATAAGACAAAACAATCCATCAAAACAGTATTGGCCACATAAGCACCTTTGACAAGCTCAAGGTGGGAAAAAAATCATTGTCATAAAGGTACTGGAAAAATAAATAAAGGTGCATAACTAATCCAACTTGGGTTGAAGGAAAGCACTGTTTTTTAGTTGCTTGATGCTTTTATTAAGATTTTCTTTTTCAGGTGTAACAGAGTAATCGTATACTATTACCTTGTTTTACTAAATTTGTTACTGCTACAGTGTTGCCTCAATCTTTAATTATTAGTATCATCTTTTTTTTAGAATATTGTTTCCTGGAATTCAAAACAAATTGAGTAGTGCCTGTATCAATGTATTTAAGATATATTTTTGTTTGTACATGAAGTTTATTGAATTGAGAAATTTGTTGATTTTAATTTTCGTCAACAATATATTTCTCCCTTCATTATAGGTGATAATCTTCAAATTCTAAGGCAAGAGTTGAAGAGCCAAAGGAAACATGTAAAGAGCTTAAAGAAAAAATCTCTGTGGGCAAAGAGTTTAGAGGAGGTGAGTCTTGGTACCTAGTTAAATGTCAAATTGTCTCGTTCTCTGAAGTCCTAACTTTTTTCCAGTGTATTCACAGGTCATAGAGAAGCTTGTAGATATTGTCCACTTCTTACACTTGGAGATTCATGATGCCTTTGGAACTGCTGGTATGTCTTACAGAAATTTTTTCTTCTTCTTTTGAACATGATAAATTGCTCTTTGTAACTCTTTGACCTTTCTTTGGTGAGCATGCAGTGTCATTTTCAAATTTCACTTAATGCAAGTGCCATTGTCTTAAAAAAATTGAGGCTTAGAAAATGATCTCTAATTGCATTTACAAACCTTCTTCATTTCATATATACATTATTTGTGGGGTAGCTAGTTAATGTACAGTTGGCACATGGCTAACCTGGTTTTAAGGGAGCAAAACCGACATCTAAGATTATGGTGATAGCAAGGAAATTTGACTTTAGGAGAACCATCTTTCTTTGCCACAACCACATGCCAAGCCAATAATAAAGTGTGGTAGGTACTCGAAGGCAAAGATTTTCTAGCTTGGTAGAAACGCTGGGTACATTTTAGTGGGATTGAACAAATACTGGGTAGGTTGCTGCAGTTTACTATATGTCAAAATTTTCAAAGAATTTTTTTGGTAGTATTTATTGAGGCATAACCTAAGGAAGGTGTTTCGTGTATCATTTTCATTTATGATGGGTTCAAGCCTGAGACAAATTCTTTATATGGTTATGCACTTCTCCAGGCTGACATAATAATAAGCCAGAGAGGAGATTGCCATAAGCTCATCTGATCAAGGAGCTTTCAAATTTCTCTAGACTTGGGTAGTTGGGTTATTCTTGACAATAGCTCATCTGATCAAGGAGCTTTCAAATTTCTCTAGACTTGGGTAGTTGGGTTATTCTTGACAATAGAGAAATATTTAAGATCTGAGAGCTTTCAAATTTCTCTAGACTTGGGTAGTTGGGTTATTCTTGACAATAGAGAAATATTTAAGATCTGCTGTAGTAACTTGCTTTCTTTCCTCAGCCGTAATATAAGCAAATCTCCAAATAGAGACTATTCCCCAATCTGTGTTTTTCGACCCTATTCAAGGTAAATGAAGTAATGTTGCACTAGCATTTGCAACTTTGAGCTGAGGCAACCAGATGTTCAGAACTAGCTGATGCATTAGACTTTATCTTAAGGATTGGAACAGTCGCGAATATGTGAGTTTTTTGACAATTTCTGTGAAGTTGGAAAATTTTCATATTGTCACCATCAAATATTTTCCAATTAAAATTTGGAGACTATGAAGTGGAGGGGTCCATAAAATATGTTTAGTAGCTCCATCACTTCAGTCCTTTAAATTTCTGCCATATCCCTAATTGGCAACAAAAAGCCATAATTCCTAGAAAACCAATTAGTATTGTGTAATTTAAGCTCTCGTGTTAAGGGGCAACATGAAAGAGTCGAGGAGGCAAAAGTTGATATATTTGCCATAGGGAAATACACAAGTCATAGAGTGAAACAGAGCACCTTAACCTGCATTGCTGATACTTTTAGTGTAAAAATTGGATTTTTTAAATTGCAAGGCTTGAACGAAATCATTTGTTTGACAGTTATGATGATGATTTGACAAGTTGAATCAGACTGAAATAAGTTGTTTCACAGTATTCATTTTCTTTTCCTCTTTGACCATTTATCATATAATTCACTTTCTTTATTTGGTGACTCATTTGGAGTAAATTGTAGATGGAGATCAACCTGTGAGGAAATCCGTCAACGTGCACCAAAGATTAGGTTCCAGTGGCCTCGCATTGCACTATGCAAATATAATCAGTCAAATTGATACTCTTGTAAGTTCCTCTCTTGTTCTTCCATTTCATATTTTTTTCTTGGTTCTTAATTTCTTTTGCTAAGTCTTTGTCTTATGATACTTTCTTAAAATTTGTGGCATTGGAAACCTTCTAGTATTCAGATTTTCAAAATTAAGAACTCGTAGTTTTCCGCAACATGGAAGCTACTGAGGCCATCATTTTCTTTAGATATTCTTATGGTATTATAGTCCGTATGTATTATCTTAAAAGTGTGGTTGAATCGTTTTGCTATCTTAGACTTCGAGCAGAAGTGTGAAGTTTTAGTATTTTGTAAGGTATTGATTTGGTTGATGCACCACCTCAAGAATCTTGCCACTGTTCTACAATTGGACTGCTGCTATAATTCCTTACTTAAATATAATTTTTCATTCTCCTATCGTTTGAGCATCTCTCTTTATGCCTTAGCGAATTTTTTATTATTAAGATTTCCTTCTAGGTGTACCATAAAACTTTTTGTCACTACATTTAGGTAACTCGTTCAAGCTCTGTGCCTTCGAATACGAGGGACTCATTGTATCAAGGGTTGCCCACAAGAGTAAAATCTGCCTTGCGCTCCAGATTGCAATCATTCCAGGTTAAGGAAGAGGTACACGGATTTGTACGCTATTTTATTTCACTTGATATTCAAGATGAGGACTAATCTGATGAGACTGCCTTCATCTACTTAGCATTCTTAGCTTACTTTGAACTTTTCTTTACTCTTTGTGCTCATGTAGCTCACTGTCCCTCAAATCAAAGCTGAAATGGAGAAAACACTGCAATGGCTAGTTCCAATTGCTAATAACACTACCAAGTAACTCATCTACACTAATTGAAGCATCTCATCAAGTTAAAGGTTTTAATTTCTATGTTCTAATTATTGTTTTTTTTGGTCAGGGCACATCATGGCTTTGGTTGGGTTGGAGAATGGGCAAACACAGGGTCAGTTGCTATTTCCTTTTTTCGCTGTTTTCCTCTAGAAGAAAATGGTCATTCATTTATGAGGTTAATGATTCCATCATATACAATGATGGGACTCAGTCTCAACCAAGTGTGGTTATGAAGGTTTATTTCTCCCCTTTACGCACTTGGTTGAGATTGAACCACATCATTCTCATATGAGAGAATCCCCTCATATGACAAGGATATACACATTATTCTCTTCATTTATATACTTAATACGTTTTTATTATTTTAAGAAAGTTAACTGTGTTGTGCGCAGCGGAAATTTCGGCAGAGTTTCTGGTGCACAATAAGAGAGAAAGATCGATATAAGAATTCCCGTCTCACCAAGGAGACAAGAATCTGAAGCGGATATCTCAACCAAGTGAGATATCGGCTCTTCCTCTCATCAGTTCTAGGACTGACCTGTCGAGGGATCCTAAAACTATTACAATGGCCACAAACTCAAACAACCAATTTTTACGTGGTTCGGCAAACTGCCTACGTCCACGGGGCAAGAAGGGGGAGATCTACTATTAGAGGGAAAGAATACAACTAGGGTTTACAACTCTCACAATTTAAACCCTCAATTAACTCTCAAATCTCTAACAAAAGGGATACCCAAAAGAAAACCTCTCAAAAGCCGTACAAAAGACTTTTTCTCTTAAAGCCTCCTCTGCCTCCGCACTGTATTGCTCCAAAAGAGAACTCAGCCGCTGCTTTTCCCAAAGCCCCTGCTTCCGTACCTTGCACGCGCCTCCAAGCCTTCGGTTTGCACGCCGCTTTTTCCCTGGCCTTCGCACACGTCCTTGCTGCTCCCTGCAATTTTCTTTTGCTGCCGCCAAAAGAACCCTTCCACTTGCACGAAAACCTAGGGGGGAAACTAGGGGACTATTTATAGGGAGTTATGTACCGGGTGGGCCTTGAGTTTGTCCGCTGAACAAAACCAAAAAGCTATCCCCTTTTATCTCTTCACACGGAAGAGAATGCTGGCCTATCACTACACGTGAAGGTGGACCCCACACGGTTTCACAATTCTCCACCTCGGTGAAGTTTTCCCAAAACTGAGCCGACACCGACCAAACCAAATATCTTACTTGTTGTATCCAGTACGAAGTGAAACAATTCACGACAACGGACTCAATCCATAACAAGTCGAGAACCCAAATAAGAATGCGAACACTCTCAAATGTCCCGGTATCCAACTCACCAAATCGGATCTCACCCATCAATATCCAAACCCGGCTGATTCATTAAGACTGCCACTACGTATCGCTTTGCCAAGGACATATAAGCCGAACGTAGTTCACCAGATGGCTCTAAAGGCCCTCAATCCCACTAGAAGAGTTCGCAACCCGTTCTCCAATATCATCAACTCTGCGGCACTGAAGCACTCCAATGGCTCAACACCTCCACCTGAGTGAACCAATGACATATCCAAGTACATCTATCAGCTGCCGAATCGCAATCAAAAACAACTCTATTCATCTGCCATCGAATCCAAATGATCTCCAAGCCGTTATGTCAATCAGCTGGAATTCCCAAATAATTGCAGTATCGATCTGGAGTAATCTTTTACCCAATGTGGTTAGCAGCATCACTCTCATTCCGCTGTCGCATTCCTCTAAGGTCTGTTCCCCAAAACTCTACCTGCTGAGAGTCATTGCTTCCTTCATCGAAAGCCTCACCAAAGTCGACACAATCAGACCTATCTATCAATGGAGTTTTTACCTCAATCACAGCAGTTGGACAACTCTTTAATAGGATGATACCCAAAATGCTCGAAGCCTCTGTCCAGAACTCTTCTGCCAAACCATTGCTCGACCACAAACACTGATCCTCCTCCAGCAAGGCACGGTCTTCCAAATTTGTCACCCTATCTAGTTGCCCCAAGATTTTCTTTCCAACGAAGTGTCTCGAAATACCGTGAGCTCGGCTCTAATACAGAAATAGGTCCATCTTGTACCTCCCACCAGAATGGAGTACCTTCACCTTTCTGTCTATTACACACTTCTTCAATCTGTTGGAAACTACTAGGACTTTCTCCAAAGGGGATTTGGTTGCAACCCAAACACGCCTAGAACAGCCACCAACAAAGGAAACCAAACGCCTATTACCTCCCAATGATGTCCCCTTGGAAGGCCCCCAAACATCCACGTGAACTCCTCCAGAACGACCCTTAGCACGGTGAATAGAGGTGCCACACTTCACCTCGGTCTTCTTGCTCACATCAACATGTTCACTGGACTTCAAACTGCAGGTCTTTGCACCCTCTTTCAATCTATGCGAGGAATCAATACTGGAATGGCCAAGCCCCAAATGCCGCAGTCTAGTCGAATCAACAGAAGTCGTCAGCTCTCCACCTGCCACTATACCTCCAGTCAAGTAATACAGGTTATTTCTCCTGACGCCCTTCATCAAAATACGAGAGTCTCTCGCAATCTCGAGAACCATGTCCTCAACACGAACCTTCAGACCCTCTCCAACCAAAGCTCCAATCGAGATCAAGTTCTTCCTCAAAGAAGGAACATATCTCACATCGTTTAACTCTCTAACAGTCCCGTCAAACATCTTTATGCGAATTCTTCCTATCCCAAGGATCTGGCATGCACGGTTATCAGCCATGTACACCACACCACTATCCACCAGCTTCTCAAAACTGGAGAACCATTCCCTTCTAGGGCACACATGATAGGTCGCACCACTATCCAACATCCATTCAGATTCCTCCGAATAGCTATCTGTAGGACTGATAGAAAGCGAATAAATAGAAGAGTCAGAATTATTACCATCCGATACGATGTTTGCTTCTGATGATGGTTGCTTCCCTTTTCCCTTCTGCTTATTCTTCATCCATTCGTCGAGCTTTGGGCAGTCTTTCTTCCAATGACCAGTCTCCTTGCACCAAGCACACTGATCTTTTCCAATTCTAGACTGTGACTTCCAATTCTTTCGGTTTGGACCCTTCCCTCTTGCGACCAACGCCTCCGCTACCGGCTCAACTGAAGCCTCCTTATCCTTCTTTCGAAGCTGATAATTCACAAGTGCAGCGGTGACCTCACTATACGAAAGTGATGCCTTCCCATTAATCAGAGTAAGAACGAAGGTCTCATATTCCTCGTCGGGCAAGGAACTCAACAACAGCAACGCCTTGTCCTCATCTTCAATCTTGACATCCACATTCGCCAAATCCGCAAGAAGCTTTGTGTAGTGGTTCATGTGATCTCTAATGGAGGTTCCCTTCTTCAACTGGAAACGATAAAGCCTCCTCTTCAAATGCAAGCGATTTTCCACACTCTTGGTCAAATACTTGCTTTCGAGAATCTCCCAAATCTTCTTCGCAGAAGTCTCATTCATCACATCATATTTTAGATCTTGAGTCAAACAAGACCTAATCACACCACACGCCGTTCGATTCATCTTTTTCCAAACCTTCTCTTCAATCTCATCTGGCTTGCCATCTAACTCCAAGGTATCCTCCAAATTCTGCGCGTTCAGCGCATCCAAAACCTCGCATCTCCATAATCCAAAATTGTTTGTGCCATTAAATTTCTCCACATCTATCTTCATAGAGTGGATATTCAAACTCTGAATAGTCTTCACGCCAGAAGAACCACCCTCGACTCCCGAAGCACCTTCTTTCCCCGACATCTTACGCATCAACGAACAAAGAATAGATCCAAAGCTGAAAGATAGAGTCTTTACCGAAAGATCCCACCTTTATCACCAACGAAGTCCTAAACGGGCCTCCAAATTGATCTACTCCTCCAAACCCTCCCTAGATCTGGAATCTGGGCTCTGATACCACTTGTTGTGCGCAGCGGAAATTTCGGCAGAGTTTCTGGTGCACAATAAGAGAGAAAGATCGATAAGAATTCTTGTTTCTCAAAGGGAACAAGAATCTGAAAGCCTAATATCCCATCAAAGTGGGATATTAGCTCTTCCTCTCGTCAGCTCTAGGACTGCGCGTCGAGGGATCCTAAAAACTATTACAATGGCCACAAACTCAAACAACCAATTTTACGTGGTTCGGCAAACTGCCTACGTCCACGGGGCAAGGAGGGGGGAGATACTGTATTGCTCCAAAAGAGAACTCAGCCGCTGCTTTTCCCCAAGCCCCTGCTTCCGTACCTTGCACGCGCCTCCAAGCCTTCGGTTTGCACGCCGCTTTTTCCCTGGCCTTCGCACACGTCCTTGCTGCTCCCTGCAATTTTCTTTTGCTGCCGCCAAAAGAACCCTTCCACTTGCACGAAAACCTAGGGGGGAAACTAGGGGACTATTTATAGGGAGTTATGTACCGGGTGGGCCTTGAGTTTGTCCGCTGAACAAAACCAAAAAGCTATCCCCTTTTATCTCTTCACACGGAAGAGAATGCTGGCCTATCACTACACGTGAAGGTGGACCCCACACGGTTTCACAAACTGCTTAGTCCCGAGAATGATTATTTTCCTCAGTAACTGCATTGTCAATGTTCCTACTTCTTTCTTCTCACTCTCTGTAACTCATGTGATGTACACCAGTCTTAATTTCCTGTTTGGTGTATTCAGTAGCTGTCTGTGTATATCCTTCAAATAGTTTAACTTTTCGACTTGCTATAATGAGAGTCCAAGCCCGTGTCTTGTACCACCTTAAAAGAAGCAACATGTTTGAGGCAAAATTGTTTGCTTATCTTGAAGTTCCTATTCACTCACCAAACTCTGAAGTTGCGGGAGGTAATGAAGGTGATAATATTATTCTCGGACTTACTCCCACATGTTGAGCGCCCTTTTCATAGGCTAAAACCTGGACTCATAATATCTTTTTATATAAATCTGCAACCAGTACCATCTTAAAAGTTCCTCCTAATGCACCAAAAGTCTAAAACTCCAGAGTTGCAGCGAGATTTGGGTTATATAAGTTTATACTAACATGCCTCTGCAGATTGATGGCCGTTTACATGGATGAAATCTGGACCCACACAATGTTAATATTTAAATTTACTTGAAATGGCCTGTGAGATTTGAACTCGGTTTCTCGTACTATCTTAAAGTTCCTTCTGCTGCACCAGAACTCCGCAGATGTGGTAAAGGTTTAGGGTTATAATTTTATACCCTGATAAAGTTTAGACATGCACAGGTTCCATTGAGAGCAAATCTTTATAGCACACAATGAGATCCATAAAATCCGACCAGTCTATTGGATATGGACTCAAACACTGATAAATGGGGAACGCAGTATGATAATTCTATTACAGTGAATATACTGATGCAACCTTTTTTTCTTCTTTCTGTTGGCAACTTATCTTATATTGTGGTCTTTCTCTGTTTTCAGGGTCGACTTAACCCAAAGTCCAGGCGGACCCACTGATTTGATTCGTCTAGAAACTTTATACCACGCCGACAAGGAAAAGACCGAGACTTACATACTTGACTTAGTTATATGGCTTCACCATCTCATTAGTCAATCTAGAACCAGCAATGGAGGCATGAGATCTCCTATAAAGTCCCCAATCCGATCTCCCACAGAGAAAAACTCAACCATCTCTTCCACTACAAACAAATCAAGAACTCAACTGCCAATGCTCTCGAAAGAAGACCAAGAAATGCTGAGAGATGTCAGCAACTGGAAGCACACCCCAGGGATAAGCAAGAGCCAGGAGTTTGCCACGGGCAACGCACGTGCGAGCAAGGAGATCAAGCTGAGCAAGAGCAGCAGTCATTCGCCATTGACTGAGACCATGGTGAAGGATTTGCCCTCGACGAGGAGGCCAGCTGCGGTCCCCTTTGTTGATTTTGACATTGATAGGATTAAAGGTTTGGATGTTATTGATAGAGTTGATACTTTGAGGAATCTTTGAATTCTATGTTGAATCTTTGTGTATGATAAGGATTGAGTGGTAGGAGAGATTTTTTTTTTGCCGCTGTTATTATTTGTATGTAACGATGTGGAAGGTAATTGTTTGGGTATATTGTATCATATGTGAATAGTTGTTGTCTATTTATGCATATGGTTAACGGAATGGGAGGAATTAGGTAAGCATTGTTTATCAACCGAGCTCGTCTTGTGCTTGAACTGTCTTTTTATTTATGGATGTGGTGTGCAGAACTATGTTAATAATTTACTTTTGCCCCTGGACTTCTTCATTTTAAACTAAAAATTGGAGTCTGAATACTACTAGGGCTCGGTATAAGGTTAAAAGAAATCAGGGTTAAACTTTAATATGATAATTATTACCTTAGAAAAATTAATGGGTGAAACATTGCTATGTTTGGTATAAATTTTCAATAAGGATAAAACTTAACCTCAAACGGAATCGTCCACTCTCAACCCAAAATATTTAAAAAATTTACAAAAACACCCTCATAATTCATAACATACAGATAACATTGAAATTTCAAACCTTATGAATAGCCCCTAAAAATTTTGAGATTTGTGGAAAACACCTTGAAACATTCAAAAATGACAGAAAAGACATGAAAATTCGAAATTTACAAAAAAAGCCTAAAATTTTCAAAACAAGCACAATACACAGAAAATCTAAGAATTACAAATAGATCCCTAGTTAAATTTAAATTTGCAAAAAACCCTAAAACTTTTAAAAGTTACAATAAAAATTTAAAACTTACAGTAAAATCTTCAAACATACCTATAGTAAATTGAAAACTAAGATTACAAATAGCCCTCAAAAAATTTTGACCTTGCAAAAAATACCCTAAAAGATTTAAAAATTGCTTAAAACTACCTCAAGAATTGAATTTAAAAGAAAACACCTCTCTATATATTTTTTTCTTTTCAGGTTGCTTCTTGTAAATGCCAAAATTTTAGGGTTCTTTGCAATTTTTGAAAGTTTTAGGGTTTTTTTTTTCCAAATTCCTAAATTTCCAAGGGGCTATTTGTAATCCTAGATTTTCAATTTACTGTTTGTAGGTTACAAATTTTGAAGGAGTTTCTAGAAAATTTTACATTAGTGGTTTTTTTTTGCAATTTTTAGAAGTTTTAGGGTGTTTTTGCAAATAAAATTTTAAGGTGGATAGTTGTAATTCTTAGATTTTCAGTGTATTGTTCTTGGTTTGATCTTTCTAGGCTCTTTTTGCAATTTTTGAGATTTTTGAGGGTGTCTTTTATAAGTTTTTAAAGTCTTGGGGTTTTCATGCAAATCCCAAAATTTTTAGGGGCTATTTTTATAATTCTAAGATTTTCAATGTACTATTTTTAGATTTGAAATATTCACCAATTTGTTTTATGAATTTTGAATTTTTGAGGGTGTTTATTGCAACTTTGGAAGTTTAGGGTATTTTCTACAAATTTTAAAAATTTAGGGGCTATTTGCAGTTCATAGATTTTCAGTGTTTTGTTTTAGGTTTCAAATTTTCAAACTTTCTCTATAAGTTTTAAATATTTTAGGTGCGTTTTGACAAATTTAAAACTTATGAGGGGGCTATTTTTGTAAGTCTTAATTTTCAGTTTATTGTTTAATATTTAAAATTTTCATTTTTTGTAAATATATAGTTTTATGTGTTTTTTATAAGTTTTTAAAGTTTTAGGGTGTTTTCTAAAAATTCTAAAACTTTTGCTGCAGTTTGTTTTCCCCCGATTTCATTATAACCTTTTAGATATGAAAATTTCAGTTTTTTTTTAATTTGGTTTTGACTGTGTTTTTATAATTTTTAAAATTTCAAGGTGTTTTTTTGTAAATTTAAAAATTTTCGGGGCTCTCTTGTAAGGTTTGAAATTTTCAATGTTATTTGTATGTTTTAAATTTTTAGGATGTTTTTACATTTTTTGAAAAATTTGAGGGTTTTTTATAGTTTTGAGATTATTAGGGTTTGTTTGTAATTTTTTATTTTATAAGAGGATATTTATAATTTTTTATTTCTGGTGCTTTTTGGTAAGTTTTGAAACTTTTTGGGGTTATGTATAATTACACATAGTTAAATGATTCAAGACTAAGTTTTCCCCCTTTTTTATCCTACCCCTACCCCGTCACTTGGTGAAAGTTTATCCTCATATGTGGTTAAACTTTTAGCCTTGGTGAAATTTTAACATGACAATACTAGCAACTAAGTACAGTTTTGTAATCAGTGCTAAAAAAATAATTCATAGCATCATTATGACATTATGCATCCCGCAGGCATCAACTTTATGCTGAGCCACTTCAAGGTGCTAGGATCCAGGGATTCTTTCTCCATCAGCAAAAGATTAAAGGGAAGGATTTAAAAAAAAACACTTGACCTTGAGATGCTTGTCTGGATCTTTTTCGGATTTCAATCGTTTGGAATATAATCTTTATAGGGTTTTTAGATATTTTCCCCTTAAACCTTCAATAATTGCATATTAGTCCTTCAAATTTTGGAGATTGCATATCACTCCCCTCAAATCTTAAAGGTTTTTACAAAATAGTCCTTGTAGTTAATACACGTTAGATTTAAGGAGAATATTCCATCAAATCTAATGGTCAGAGTCAAAATGGCCGTTTTAGCACTCTATTATGTTCCCAAACTCATTTCTTAATGGTTTTAAATCCAGTACCTGCTTAACAAAAACTCAAATCTGTTTAATTTCTTCTTTTCCAACAGCTAGAAAAGAAACCCAAACCCAAAGTTCAGCTTCACAAAGGTTTGACACATTAGGGAGAGTGGTAGTTTGATATTTGCAGATATTGGGTGTTTGTTGGAAATTTGTAGTAAAAAGACAATGAAAGAAAAATTTGACTTGTATTTCTCTCAAAATCAATTACAATTTGGATTCCGATTACAAAAGCGAGGAGAATGAATTTGATTCTCCCCTTTGTTTAAAACTGGGTTCTTCAAGGTAGCGATGGAATGCCTCCTTCGATTGATAGCGTCGAACTTGCTCTCCGTTGACGATCCGACCGTTCTATCTCACGAAACCGATTGAATTGCTTGATGACTTCGGTTTAGAACTCTTAACGAGTGTAAAGAACTCAGAACGAGTTGAAAACTCTGATAAGAGTTGTTGAAAACCGAATGTCTGGTTTAATGTGATTAAGTTGGGTTGCAAGCTTAATCACGAACTCTTAAATGAGTTTCAAAACTCAGAGTGAGTTGGAACTCTGTAAAAGAGTTGTTGGAACCGAAGATTCGGTTAATTGCCAAGTTGATGATGCCCTTGATGAAAGGATCCTTTGTGATTTTATTAACTGATCGTTGATCAGTTCCTTGATCTTCAAAAGATCTCCTCCTTCGTGTTGTTGAACTGCTGAGATTTGTTGACCCTAAGTGGTTTTGATACCAGCTCACCTCAACCCTATGCGGTTTTTCTGCTAGAAACCGATCAACCCCTTACTCAGTTGAGTAAGTCGGTTATTTATAGGGGGATTAGGGGTGTAACCAACCCCTAAATCCGCTCCTAAGTGGGCGAAGATCCCTCAGAACGTGGGATAACGGTTTTGAGGCCGTTCGGTTTGCGTTTGAACAAGTCAAAACGCCTCAGCTGGCGTTCTGGGCTTTAACTCTGCGTCCAAGGCTTGAGACGCAGAGTTAAATCTCTGTTAGAGATTTGAGACGCACAGGCCGCATGCGTTCTGGAATTGGAAACGCATAGGTCGCTGGTGCGTTGAAGTTCAACTCTGCGTCCAGAGTTCGGGACACATAATTGAGTCTGTTAAAGAACGCACGTTATGTGTGCGTTTTGTGCTTTAACTCTGCGCTACAGAGTTAGATGTCTGCTGGAGGAACGCACAGGTTGTGTGCGTTTTGAATTTGAGAAACGCAGAAGTGAATTTCTGCGTTTGAGAGAGGTTGTTGACTTGTAACCTCGTCTGTTATAACATTGCAAAGGCTATTGCTTATTGATCTTTGCCTGTTATAGGATATGAGAGTCGTCAGATTGTAACTCTCACTGTTGGTTGTCAAGGCCACTGAACAGAGTTTTCATCAGCTGTCGGAAGTGTCGTCGAATTGTAACTCTTCTCGATCCGTGTGAAAAGTCTCCTATTTGCCGTTTTCGATCGTCGGCGTGAAAGCTATTTGATTGTAGCTCTCATTGTTGGAGCTTGACGGGAATCAACATCCATAGTGTCTTCTGGACGAATATTTGCCCACAGCTCTCTACCCAGCAACTCACCAGCTAAGTCCAACCTTTTATTTCTCGGAGATGAGGCCGTGTTTATAGCGGTGGCAGAGTTGCGAATGCAGTGATTGGGGAGTCGTCTGATTGTAACTCCTATTGTCAGGACTTGTTTGGATCAGCTATCCATTGTGATTTTTAGACAGCCTACAGAACCCCCTCCAAAGTTTTCGAAAGTTCGCGGTTGACTGGGACGAATTTTCGGAATACTTCGGATTTTAAACTAACGTGCTTGCTTTGTAAATCAATAAAATTATTTTGCAACTTGTTAAAGGTATGTAATAATTTTTCACTAGCACAAGCAAGTTCATCATTAGGTAAATCATTTATGGTTTCGAACTCGCAAACCTCACTAGGGCTATCGCCTAGTGCACGTGTGCATGACGCTCCACATGAACTTGAAGCCGGATCCGCCAAGGCTTGTTGGATCGCCTCCAAGTCCCCTTGATGTGCTTCAATTAATTTCCATAAGGTGTAAGCACTATCAACATGAACAAACTTGTTAGACATAGATGAGTTAAAAGCATTTAACAAATATTCTAACAAAATGTTGTTCATAGTAAACATGCGATGATCATTTTTATTCCACTTGGATTTCTCCGAAGTGAGCACAATGTAAGCATCAACAATAATTTCCCATAAATCAAAGTTTTTAGATTGAACAAAAAGTTTAAATCTAACACACCATTGGGCATAGGGGAAATTGTCTAATCTAGGAGCAACACTAGAATCATAGCCTAAACAAGATGCATCATTCATATCCATAATTTGTAAAAATATGCAAGCAAGATACAAATGCAATCAAAACAAGATTAGCACAAAAATATAACTTGGATCTTTAACTCAAGGCGATTAGACCTTAAATCAAAGAGCACCAAGCTCTGATACCAATTGTTAGACCCTAGAGGGGGGGTGATTAGGGTCTTATGCTAATCTAATCCGATTAAATACCAATTAA